CAAGGTGTTAATTAATGCATCCATAATGAGTGCGACACTTCGATGATCGATCGTACATATCCTGCAGCTTTCATCTTCGGATCTTCTAGGAATTTGACGCGAGCTAATACCTAGGAAGGTGTGTCGATTCGCATCGAAACAAAAAAACCTGATTGCTCGGTCTCTGACGAGTCCGAGACAATTTGTCGTGATTGTCGTGAAAATAATTTACAGGTCCATGAAAAGTGCGCGACGCGTTCGAGTTTATTGGCCGGACGGAAGTATAGGTGTGTGTACGGGAACGTTGGAATAAATTAATGAATAATCTAGACACCAGGGCAAACGTTGAAGTGTTTTACGAATAATTGAATCAGCCGCGATACGTACGAATCCACGGAACGTCGAACCATAAAGAAATATGGAAAATATGAAGGACATTTTGTTCCCGATTTAAGAGCCGATACAGGGATGAAATCTCGAAACCATTTCTCAAAGTTTGTGCGAAACTAATTTATATACCGTTCACGTTTTATAGCCGACCATAAAGAATGAACTATTAAATCAATTTATGTACCCCGAAGATCAAATCGGCTTAGCGTGTACCCACATTCTTGGGTATCGTTTGTTTGTCGCTTAGATAATATGGAAAGGGTAGAAAGAAGCAGAGTGAGAACTTTGGTTATCTGTAAAATTTCTTTATTTTCCTACTGAACGCTACAAAGTTCGTGTAAAATATGGAAGGTTTTACGCAAAAACCAAAGTGAATATCGTTTTGTTAACCCATTAACAATTTATTCCGAGTGAAACTCATAAACATAAAGCATGTCTTTTTGACGTTTTTTTATCATGAATGGAAGTAGTTTACTTTTATTGTAATAAAAAAATATATATATTATACATTAAAATATACATTTTTCTGATCACAAGTCGTAATTTTATTCGACTGTTAATGGGTTAAATACAGGTAGCCAAACGTTGAGCTGTCTAGTTAATCACATTAGATTTGTTTCGTCGTTGTCGAAACAATCGTTTTTTATCACAACCATACAACGCCCCGAGACGGTTCTACCGTAACATCCGAGCGAATAAATAAATAAATATTATAAATAGAGTAGCATACATACTAAATCCGTTAATCGCCGCGACACCCGCGCGGGTGTATCGCAATGACAACAAAATCGGAGACAATCCTATAAATAATACGGAATAATCTCTTATTATATAATATTTTACATTGAGCAAATTGAAATTCCCGGGACGGACGTCACGCGAACGTCTATTAAAACGAGTTCTCCCCGTTTATTTATGGATTTATACAATTTTAATTGGTCGTCGGTAATGTTATTGTGAAAGCACGGGATTTAAATTAGCGTAAGACCGAGCGTGTCCATTTGGAAGACTCGAGACGTCTGTTTTTAAAAAGTAACCGAATTCGAAAGTGTTTCACGCGTCGATCTTCTCCTTATACGGCTTTACAAAAGTACAAAAAAGTGAATAACATCAGAAAATATCGAAGAATCGTTCTCCCGAACACGGGTGCAGTCAAACGACAGAACTAGGAATCGTTCTGTCGCGTCAACCAGATTAAACTACAAAATTAGGTAAATAGTTCCCTAGATAACTTAAGGCCACGTCCCCACACACTGCGCAGCACGATGGGGATCAAGTCCAGGCATACTTTTGCGTTACACGTGACACAAGTCCCTGACTTAGCGCCGAGATCCGCGAGACGTCATTATCCACTGGCCCAACTTCGACTTGTTGACCGCTAACTGAGAAACGGTATTTTAAACACACTGACAGTCGCCAGCAATTTCATTTAACTAGGTGTCATTTAAACTTCGCTAATAATACCGAGTCTTCAATTGCTTATATTGACCTCCGGCAATTTCATGCTGTCGGTGGTGCTCCGGCAGCCGATGTGAAGTTGCATGCCGCCCTCCTTTTTGTGACTGTCGCAGCCGACCACTTTGTACCCTTGAACGGGATGTAACAGACTGTGCTCGATTGTGTTCAAGCAGCTGGACGCCTTGTGATTGCGCAGGCTCAGTACCGAATTACCGTCCTTATCCATGGTGATCCCGATGGTGATATTGCATATCGAGAATTCATTGGCCACGGACAGATACAGAAAGCCGACCATAGGATTGTAATTGCTCCCTGCGTTGATCGAATTTGGGGACCAGTTCACAGTTCGTCGGTCTCTTGTCAATCTGACCTCTTCCCAGTTCTTCTCCGTCTTGTTTCGATGAGCATCGAAACGTTCGGATTTTAGTCTCTTTAACGAACCTCTCGCGTGATCGTTGACAGTTTCGTCGATCATTTCGATCCTTTGTAGCCACGATTTATGGTGCCTGTTCGGTCGATCAGAAGGATTCGAAGACAAATCTCTGGGCACCGATTCGTCCAGATGGTAGCCACTCCAGTGTCTGTCGTGCGAATTGTGTCTTCGCCAGGATTTTCCTACTGAGTGTCCTAATGAGTGTGAACTGTACGGCAATGGTTCCAGGCCCGTCAAGTCGCCCAGCACCACGGGCAAAAGGATTATCAGGACAATGTACAACGACATCGGTGGTAACAGTCGAAGCCTCCCCGGCAACGAATTCTTCTCTTCGTTCCTCCTTACTTCTTCTTCGCCGTTTCTACGGCTCTCCTTTATCAAAGCTGACCGATACAAAGCCATGATAATTGTCCCGCCACTCGATACTCCGCCTCTGGAATAGATATCAGTCCTTCTTCCGAGCGATCTTCAAATACCTCGAGACACTGAACACGCTGCCCGGTGTTGCCTCAGCAGTACGTACACGCAATTGAAGTTGAAACCCTGGACGGACAATACAAACGATCTCTCGGCAATTACGCTAAGAAATCCTCGCAGGTCGTTGCTTTGACGAGTGATCCTCCGATTGTTTCTTGGCGGAACCTCTTGCCGGGTGATTGCGGTTGAAGACGATACCTTCGGATCAAGGGATACTGTCCTTCTTGTTTCTCTTATTGAATTACAATTTCCACGGTGTGTAAATAGAAATACACTAATCCTTTCTTTCTTCTTTATCTGGCTTTTTCTCCCGGGTCACTAAACTGCGTTTCTCGAAAGAAAACCCTCGAACCAAGCCAAGTTCTTCTTCAGCTTCGTGCCTCGTAACTGCGTTGCTCTCTGGCTCGTCACGGTTCCGTGGTTTCTCGAAAACTGCGTGTCCGTCGGTCCCCCGAAGGATTTTTTATCCTATGGTCAGCAGCCGTGGGTGTTCGACGCGTATGCAACCATCCCCCTCTCGTCCATGGGGGCCCACTCGAGATCCTCGCTGAGCTTCCTCCTGTTGCTCCGTTCGCCCGGCCCCGTGACGTCAACGGGCCCCGTTTCCTCTTGCGCTGGCGCACACGCGGGTTCCCGTTTGGCGCGCGGTGTAATTCTAAAGCCAGGTTACCCGAGACGTCACCGCGTGGCGGAGGAAGAGAAAAGAGAGCTTGGTGACGTCTGTCTCACCCGTTCGCTACCAAGTTCGCGGAAAATGGGAAAAAGGGAGTGAAACACCTCCTTCGATGGCTCGCCGCACGGACCGCCGCGACAGGGGGGATAGGGGATCGGGGGGAGTCGGGTAATTTCTCGATAACGGATAATCGTGTTGTTACCAGCTCCAGGAACCCCCATCTAACCCAAGCCTCCTTTCCTCGTGCGTGTACACGGCGCGTTTTCCACGCGAACAGCGACGCTTCTTACGCATTCAGAGACGTGTAGTCGAGATTCCATCGTCTCGCGCGCGCGGATAATGACCGGCGACGGCGGCCGAATCGAAGATTTCAGCACTATGGCGCGTCATCCACGGTAGCAACATTCCTGGAAGACAGGCCTCTGTCCACACCTCGAATATTGCGCAAAATCACATCGCCCGTGATGATCTGATGAATGATTCCGTATAAACATGTGTGTGTATCCTTTCTGCTCCTGTTTCGAGTGTACGGAAATGATGACGTGTAAACGCGCACCGGGCGCCGGAATGCATGTGAATAATCTCAAAGGTCGACAGGAATCTCTATATCTCGGGGGGTTTTCTGACTAACGATGGGCCGATTTGCATCGAGATGCTGTGTATCTGTGTGTTTCGCACCGTGAATTAAGTATTCGTCCGTGAAACGCAACTATTATTTATGTATATTTGTTGATAGCCGAATACCCAATGCCACCGATGAATCAGATCGTGCCTGATAATGTGTCCCCTAGACATTTCAAAAGTACGGGGGCTTCCCCGTACCTCAACACGGTGATGACATTTCAGAACCATTTAGCTAATTAAGCTCATAAATTATTGATCCGAAACGGTGATCCACGAGTTCTCGTCCAGCGCGTTCACCGTCCGATTCTCAGCCAGGATTCTTCGGCTCGGGAGATGCGTTACACTTGTTTCGGATATTCGTAGAATCGATTGAATTTTTACGAGTTTCGGCGAAATACAGGATTTCAGAGCACTGGACTGAAATCCCCGGAGAAGATTAACGGACCGACTAATGTATGAATCTTTGATTTCCGGCAGTCCATCATCCATCGATGTTCTTCCCTTCGTTTCGGTGAGTCATCCGAATGCAATGTCGCTACCTGAGAGAATCAGCCATTACTGTCCGTGAAAGTTTATAAACGCATAAATATTTTTCAGGCGTTCGTAATTCTGGGTGGTTCAAAACTGAACTCGGGACGGGTATCAGAATTCGTAGAATTATGTTTGCGTTGGTTACTGGATACGTTGTTTACCACGTTTTTTATACAAAATTCGAGTTCCCAAGAGTGTACGTTAGGTACACTGGTATCATGTCGATACATACCTATTACATATCGTTCCCAGTGACTACACAGTTTAGAACAATATCGGTACTGATTGCTAATAGAAAAGAATAAGACAATGATTCTGAACAAAGAATCGAAAAAAGAAGGGGGGTGGGTAACGGGTTGTGAGTGGTACACCGTTTGAATAATAACCGAAATCGTACAATAACAAACAACGAACACAACAATGTGTTTATGAGACAACAATCATTTGTTTTTTATTAAATCATACAAAAAGATCCGGTGACAAGCTGCTCCTGGTCGGGAAGCTTGCGTGTGTGCCGAGTTTCAGGACGGATTCTGTGGCGACCACGCAGGCTCGTCGGATGCATTCGTCCATGGAAAGCCCTGGATGATACGCTTTAAAATATGCAATAGCGCCCAGAAATGCATCTCCAGCTCCCTGTGCATGTAGAAGGAATACTATTAGCGGCACGTGGACTGTCAATCTTTCGTTCCCTTTTCCAACAGTTGAATCAATTTTTTTAAACAATTAAACATAAGAGTAAATTTCATTTTAGTATCTGCAGACGAAATTCCTTCAGATGATAGAACTTCTTGGACACGCGAGTAGAATAAGATCTGTAGGTTTCGACGAAGTAGAATAGGAACGGACGTGGTCGGACAAATACACAGAGACTAAGGGGAATTAACCACTAATGGTTAGACATTCTGGTATGTACTTGGTTTCTTCAGGATTGTCTCATAAGGATTTCTACAGTTGGTAGAGAGCTACAAAGTGTGTTTGTAGAGATGAGTCTTAATTATACTGCACCCTCTGTACACATAGATTAAGTCACCCTAAAGATATCCAATAATAGACGTACAGTTGTATCCACGGGTTTGACCCGCCTGGTAGGAACCAGTGTCGCAGTCCTATTCTTCCTAGATGCATACGCTGCTCCCATTTTTCCCAAGGTGAGGATAACTGTATTACAACCATTGTCCAACAGCTTGTCAATGGCTTCCTGCATATTTGATAACCCCAACGGTTGCACCCCCGTCATGATTTCCGCCTAAAAGGTACCTTTATATTTAGTCATCGAATAATGCCGCGGTTTTTTTTTTTTAAACTTTCCATTGACTCTGAAATACAAGAATACCTGACGAGGATCTCCGTACCTCGGTCTCGTTAACACAGAATATATCGCAGAGTGACAAGAGGTCGTAGTCAACGTGTTCCATCGCAGGCGCCCCGTTCACAATCGACAAACCTATCGCATTACATTTTATACAACTATCGTAATTGAATGGAGGAACATAGAGACCTTGCCGAACGCAACTAACCGTGGTCTTTATGGAGCTTTAAAGCGTGCCGCGTGGTTTCCAGGGGCGTCTCAAATTGGCACAATAAAACGGCAGCGTCTCGCACTACCTCCGCCGCGGCGTCCACGTGTTTCAAACTCAACGACTCATTCGATCCGGACACGATCACTATATGGTTCTCGCCTGGAGAAAAAAAGGAATTTCGCATAAACACTTTTATACGACAGTTTTGTATCACGCTAATGAATACTGAAAAGCACTTTGGTCACGATTATCTGTATCTAAGTTGTCCAGCGTTACCATACCGTTATCGGCGACCGTGATATGCGCTATTCCACTGTGCTGATTTTCTTGTATTTGAACATGCGCAACATTCACGTTTTCCTTCTTAAATATTTTTAAGTACTCTTGTGCATATACGTCTGAACCTAACTGTATTGAAAATGAATTATAGGTGAAGCTTATTTAATTTCAATTTATTGAGAACTAACTTACGTACTACCACAATCTTGGGTAACTCAGAATTATTGAGAAGGGTAACAAAGTTTTTTGTATTGGAAATTTAAGACACTATATGAAATTGGTCAAGAACATTTTAAAATTTGTGCTGATTTCTACTACTTTGAAATTGTATAATAATTATCCCATTGGTAGTGCTAGAGTTAATAGTGTTTTTATAGAAAAATAAATGAGATCAGTGAATCCTACTGAAGCAACAATTGCTGTTGATGCACCAAGCTTTGCAGCAGCCACACATTGATTAGCACCTTTGCCACCATACTTTATTTCAAAGTTGCTACCGACTAGAGTCTCACCAGATTTTGGTAAACGCGGGGAATAGCTAAAACAAAAGTACATTCTTACCAAATAGAACAAATTATTTGTATGAAAATATAAATGTTATAAAATTTGTAATATTTATCTAACAAAACTTACACTTTGATTTTGTAATGATGTAATAGTAGTGATGATAAAGTAATGATGTAATTTTATTGTTTCATAAAAGATGAGGAATATCATGTTGAATGCATATTGTTAATTTAGAATAAACAAGTCATATACATTTTATTACACAAATTACGAAACAGATTATTTTTAAGTTTAACAAGTATTGTGTTCACTTACCTAGTAAAATCAATCATACATGAACCGACGACAACAATTTTTGGAGACATTTTCTAACGATATATTTGAACAATATTCTGAGATTTAAAGTATAAAACTTTTGGAAGGTTATGTAAGCGATAGCTTTTATACAAGAATGGTTTCTTTTGATCAAGAAACAAGAATAGCTCGGTTTATATACACGCATATAACTTGCTATCTGGTTTTATCACAATTATCACATGCACCAGCATATCCCGAGGCTGATAAATGATTTGTTTATTGTAGTCATAATCTACGAAGAACATACATACCACGATGGAGAACAGAAATTTCAATTTTTAATAATAAAATTGTTTAAAACTGGTACAAATTAGAGAAATAATATGGGAATTTAATGTTAAAAAGCTGCTTTTATTTTCAGTTAATTCATTTCGAAGTACATATACACTTTGTAACACTACAGAAACAAATGTGTTATCAAATTACACTTGTATCATAAAAGATAAAATAAGTTTTGAACTTTAAAACCTACAATACAATCTAGTATCAAAATACAAAAATAACAACAATGTTTGAAGTACAATTAAAGAACATGTATTTAAGTTATCATCCATACGTACATTTAAAATGGTACGTAGATAAATAAAATACCACACTTTAATGGAATTTCTGGCGACATCTATGGGAATATGAATGAATTTATGAATTAAAATATATTTACCTTCACGATACCCTTTTTATTAAACAAGATTATGGACATATATATGTATACATATTCAATGTCATAATTAATCATTTTAATTTTGAATACAGATAAAACAGTAATTTGTAAATAATAAGTTACTCTTTCCAATTCATAATATCAAACCAAAGATATATATATATGTATTTCAAATTAAATAATATAATGATCACAATTCTATTAAAAGTGTAGTATCTTAAAAAAGATTATTAAATAAACTTTTTCTTTATATTTATTGACGCTTTGCTTCATTTCTATATCAATATATATATATATATTAATACAGAAAGAACTAATAATGACAATCGATCGTGGTTCTAGTGGTGAAAAAAACTTAAAATTTGTATCTGTATTGTAAATAATTCATATTTTATACTGTATTTTTTATAATTATTTATTGAAAATTCAATGGAGTGTAGTTACGAGTACTTGTGCTGGATTGGTGACAGCAGTACTGTAGCTACGTATTCCCAATTTCATTCTTGTAAACATTGCGTTTGAATTTAAGGAAGTAATCGCTTTCTCGTATGAAATCACTTCATATATATAATTTAGCGAAAACGTATGTTTAATGGAGACGTTTGGTCGTCAGAGAATTCCCTTAAAGATTGAATAATATGTGATTTTCTTTGGGATCGACAGAGTATGGATACAGCATTCTTGGTTGGTGAGTTTTTCACTCTGCCATTGAATTTATTTTATATGTATATTCAAAGAAATCACTACTAAATAGTGTAGTAACATAAACAAACCCACTTTAATTAACAAGTCTCAAACGAATTTATTTTTGGGTAACAAAATTGAATAGATTAATTTTAATAATATCGTACATCGTACCATTTATCGTGGCTTTATAAGTTGTCGAAATATTCAATCATTAAAGCATACTGTTATAATTTTATGCTAAGAATTCCTTCCTACAACGTATTGAAGTACTTTTTTCGTGCACGAATTATGCGATTAAATTTTCCTCGCTGAAAAGTTAGTAAAGTACATAGAATTCTGTATTTGATTTTATAAGCTATCTGTGTTAGGTTATGGTACACCTAAAACAATTTTTATTTCATCTATTTCACTGCAAGAGATCCTCCAAGTAAAGTTCAGTTATTTTTCCAATAATGTGAAGAATTTGATAATGATTTGTTTTAGCTAATAATTTTTTTCATTGTTTCTCAATTACTAATTATTCATTCTCATCAACAGGGCAGTCCATGGTACATTAAATAAGTGTAATGAACTTAGTATTTTACCATGGAACAAATAGATGAAGTACAAAACAATACAGTTGAAGTTCAATCGGTACCAGTAATAGATTTATCTTCTGCGGAGTCAGAATCAAATGAGGATGTGACAATTATTGGAAACATTCCTGAGGATCAGGAAAATTGCTCCAAAGATTATACAGACAATGTAATGGAAGCTCCTTTCTCAAAGAATGAATGTGATTTAAACATTTTGGTACGCAAAGTTGATATTGATGAAGAAGAAATAATGAAGAATGTTGATGCTAATGTAACTAGTGAGTTGCATCGAGAAACAGTTAATAATGATATAGAAGAGGCAGCTCAAGCTGGTACACAAGAGAAAGTTAATAATGACACAGAAGCTGACAATGACCATAGTGTACAGAATGTGGTAAAAACTGAAAAAAAACAAACTACAGTATCAATTGATGCTGAAGACATCGAAAAATGTGCAGATAAGGAATCCTCAAATAAAGATGATTTTATTGATTCAAATGACGATCGGGAACTCAGCACAGATAAGAATAAATATCAAAATCTTGAAAAAGATGTTTGTACGGTAATAGATATAAATACAACTGATGATACCAATACTCAGTGTCAAACGTTAATTAAATCTCTTAGCCAGACATTCGAAAACAAAGACCAATCTCTGCATGTTGCGGATACAGAAACAGATTTAACTAAATTGGTTGATGATAATTCAGAAGTTATGGTAGTAACTGTAGAAACAGTACCCCTCAACGATTCAAATGAAGCTCCTAAAGAAAAAATTGTTGTAACCATGCATGAAAAAGATATTTTAGTAAATGCAAATAAAAATGACCTTTCACAAAAAGAAAAGGAAACAGAGAAAAATAAAATTATAAACGAACAATTCGATTTGATAGAATATAGTCAAGAAACTGATGGAACTATCATTGAGGTGATTTCAACAGAAGTAATACAATCAGAGGTTTCTAAAGCATGTACTCAAGAAGACAATGAACTGATTTCAAAACTTACCACTTCTGGAATTGATCTTGTAACATCAACCACATCTGAAGTTGCCACCAGTTCACAGATTATAGGTACTGATGTAATAATTAATGAAGACAAGATAAAAAGTACAGGTACTGACAAACTTGGAGAAAATGATACAGAAGCACAGTTAGATAATGATATCAAGACTGGCACATGTGATCATTCAAATAGAAGTAATGTAAAAAAAGAACCTGATGATATTAAAGTTAATATCCCTACAAATGTGGATAACTCAAAAAAAGAGTGTAAAATAAATAAGGTAAATAAATCAGTTTCAACAACTAACAAAAGAAGCGTAATTCAAGATATTTTTGATGACTGGGGCGATGAAAATGCAGAGGAGGATAATCAGTCAATTTCTAAAGAGCATGATACTGTGGAAATTGAATTAAAAAGCTTGTTAGATGACACACGATCAAGTCAAGCTGTGGAAGAAGATACAATACTAATTCTTAATGAAGAAAGTATAGAAAAAGGGGATACAGATACTGGGAAGACTGTAAAAGTTATTAAAGGTAATAAAGAAGTACAAATATCAAAAGAGCAGGCAGATAATAATCAAAGTGTAAAAAAGCAACAACGTTTTGTTAAATCATTGAAAAAGGATCCAGTAAATTTTACAGTGTCACAGAACTTTGGAAAGTCTGTAAAACACACAACACACGATTCTATTACATTTAGTCAAACATCGTCTCAAGCAAAGATTATACCTCTTGCTAATCGTGGTCGTAATTTGACTAGTCAAATAGCTTCACCAGCCGAAGTGACGGAAGCGTTAAAAGAACGGCTTCGTGAGAAACAAAAAATTGTGGAAGCACCACCTGGACCCGATATATTTTTCGTTAAGAAACTAACTCAGAGATTATCAAGTAAACTAGCAGGTGGTCCAATGAGTACTTTACCAGCACTTATACCATTGCCTCAGCCTTCAATTCAATCATGCACTCCTACAGACAAAAAGACTACAGAAAATATAAGTACTGATGCGAATAAAGATACTAGTAAAGAAATTAATACACAAACTACTGAAGCAGATAATAAAGAAAGTAACTCTGATAATAAGGAATTATTGGCAATATTAGAAGGTGATGTGGATCCTGATTGGTCAAATTTGAAACCACCAACGCTAACAGAAGAAGGAAAGGGTCCAGTGAATGTTGAAGAAACTGGTCCTAATACACCTCCAAAACTTGATCCTTTAGTCGAAAGGGAGTTAGCATTAAAGCAACTTCTGGAATTACCTATCATACCTGTTAAGAAAGCTGCCTCGCGAAAGAAAAAAACATTTAAATCTGCACCTGGTAAAACTGCTAAAGATATAGAAGGAAAATCTCCCGAAGTAACAAAGGAAATTGTTAGTATTGACTTAGCAGATGATTCTACAGAACCAATTTTAAACAATACAAGACCAGATACTGGAACATCCCCTGTAATTATTGAAAATACACTAGAGAAGAGTGTAGAATCGGCTTCGAGAGAACTACGAATAGATGAATCAAGATCAGGTAGAAAACGAAAACTTACGGAGAAAGCCAGAGAGCATGAAGAACAGCTGAGTATTGTAAAACGTCAGAAGGTATACAAAAGTAAAGTTTCATTGAACAAGAAACAGCCTCTAGAAAATGAAGTACAGCCTCCAGCAAATACAAGCTTAACTACTGAGAATGATGTTCTGAAAGAGAGTATTGCACCTGCTGAGACTGTAAGTAATGAAGCTGATGTTACAATAACAAAAGAAATAATAAATAAAGAGCTTACAAGTGAAATCGACCTAACATCGAATAAACCTGAGGCCATACCTGTAAAACGGCCAAAGCAGAGTCTCAGCAAGAAGGGATCTCAGTCTATTCCTAAAAGAAGCATGGTAGTGAAGAAAATATTGAAACAAAATATGTCTTCTGGTAAGAAGGTTGCTTTGAAGACAAAATTGAGTACATCGTCAAAAAAATCGGCATCAAAAGTCACTTCAAAATCTAAGCAATCAACACAGAGTAGTTCTGGAGATTCTAAACCAAAGAAGAAGCCAATTAATGAAATAGATAGATTGCTTCAAGACGAAGGCGTTGTAAATTTGCTGTACGATGTAGAACAACCAGACAAAAAACGACTAATTCCTATCACTAAATCTCAAGCAAAAGTTATGGACATTCAAAAAGTACAACGTGAGCTTAATTTTAGAAAAAAATTAGTACGCAGCGCTGTTCTAAGATTACGTACTGCAACAACAGGTGTGTCAAAAGTTTCTCCAAGGTCTAAAAGGACCACGATACACGGTAGTGATATACAAACGGATAAAAAAGTGGGAGAACAAGCTGCCACAGTCAAATCAAATGCTACACCTCAACAAGAATTTATTTTACCTGCAAAAATAAGGAATGCAGCAGATGCATCTGTTATAATTAGAAGACATTCATCTAGCTCTTTTTCTAGTGCGTCTGGAAGTCCTAGAGTTAGCATTGATAGTCCCGAAAAAATTGAGGGAACTAAAAACGATGAAGCAGGTTCCCATTCCCTGAGATCCACAAAGAGAAGACTTTCAGATGAAGGGACAAATGCGAAAAAGAGTAAAAAGAAAGTTGTACATAAAGGTGATATAGAAAGTATGGTTGCCAACAGTGTAGATGATAAAGCAGTTCGTCCGACTAAAAAGTCAGATTCCAAAAAAGGTGATAAGAATTCCAAACATGCTGATGCTACTATTACAGAGGAAACCAGTTCAGGCAAAGTTATAACAAGGTCGAATGGTACAACTACAGGTAAGGTAACATCAAAAACAAAAAAAAATGTAAAGAACAAAGTTACATTCGCTAAAACAAGTGAATCAGGTAACAATGAAGAATTCTCCAAAGGAGAAGATGAACTTTCAGCCTGCCTTGCAGAAGCTGTAAATGCTCTTTCAGTAGTCAGTGCTGGAAATCGGTCTGGAAGTTCTACACCTAATCGTAAGAGCAAAGGTGAAATCTATGATTTCATAGTGCTAGAAATGCTTTGTATTTTTGTCTAAATACTTTTTTATTTTATTCATTGCTCATATTATTAAAAATATGCGTTATAAACTATAATATTAATCGTATTTATGTTTAAGAAATATAAAGTACTGATTGAAAGGATGTTTTTCAGGAAACGCAAATATTGCCAAGATATTAGAATTGGATAATAGCAAAACAAAAACAGAATCGCGAAATCAATTCAGTAATAAAGAGATAAATGTACGGCGACACGGTAATCTTGTGCAACTAATTCTCACTCCATCGTCTTCAACAAAATTACGAAACGCCCTTACACTACAAGTAAAGAAATTTCGGAGCAATTTAAAATTATTTTTATGGTACAGATACCTAAGTACTTTGTTGATACAGTACTTGTTTTACATTCGTAGATGATGCAAGAGTTTCGTGAAACGTTATCGATCCTGAAAAAAGATGATGACTGTAGAGTTGTTTTGTTAACATCCACTGGTAGCAGTTTTTGTGAAGGTCTTGAACTTTCTATGTTACTACATACTAATACAGAAGAGCGACGAATTCAGGCCCAAGAAATGGCAGACGCTGTTAAGTATGTAATCATTGTAATTGAATATTTAAATAGCGGATTTTAATCTTATACGTTTAGTAGTGCTAAAAATCTAATTTTGTTTACCATATAGAGACTTCATTAAAAGTTTAGCTACGTTTAATAAACCGATTGTTGCTGGAGTTCAGGGCGCTGCAGTAGGACTTGGAGTAACAATGTTGCCTTTGTTTGATCTCGTGATAGCTAGTGATAAAGCAACGTTTAGTACTCCTTATGGAAAATTAGGACAAATTGCCGAAGGCGCTGCTGTTTTCACTTTGTCACATATACTGGGAAGTGCAATTGTGAGTACATTGAACACGTGTTCGCCAATCGTATAAAAAATAACCCATTAACATTACTATTTAATGATATAAGTATTGAATGATTTCGGTTACAGACAAGTGAATTACTTTTGGGTGGTAGAACTCTAACAGCTAGTGAAGCATTAAGGGCTGGTCTGGTTACAAGAGTCCTGTGGCCTGACAGATTTCAAGTTGAACTTCTACCAACTTTGAAGGCTATGAGTGAACAATCTTCACAGGTATGCTGTCTAAATTATCTAAAATTCTGAAATGAAAGACAGTAAGCTTTGTAGGCTGTCCCAGAGTAAAGTAATTCTTGAACATTTTCTGTAGTTCGGTTTTTGAAAATACACAAATGGTTCTTGGGACAAGTACATCTATAATATGTTGAGTACAAATCAGATCGTATGTGTCCACAAAATTCATCGGTGTCACACATTCTTTTCTATAAAAAATATAACGAAACTTAGAATATATACAAGACTCAACTCAAAATATAAATTTTTACGCTTGATGACATACCTTGACACACTTGAACGTTTGTGCGATGTGATCATTGTCTTCGTATGTGTACTTCTGTAGTCTCCAGTAATGTGATATTGGACACAAACAGTTTAATGTTACATTGTAAGGTATTAAGTAAGAATTAGTTGTATTACTTTTACCATATACTTTGATGGCTTCCTTTTTATACGTGCATAGATCCATGTGTATTATTGGAGTGCAAAACTGTGAAGGACGAAGTTTTAAGTAGCAAATCTCACATTGCAATTTATATGTCTACATACCTCCATGTGTGATTTATTATTGAGTAACTGAGACGTGTTTCCGAGTTGTTCATTCCATTTCCATGGGCATTCTTTTCCATTAGGACAACGGCATAGTCTTTCGGTTAAGCTGGACATCCAGAACCGGTTGTGAACCACATTACACGCCTCGTTAATTGTACAGTAGTGCAAATTACTTTCCCCATCTATCTGTATTAATACCACCTGTTAGACATTATCTCAATTCGTCGAATTTTCTATATTTTTGTATACACGTACACCAGCTGTATATTTGAAGGTAACATTGCTCGATTTACTGTTGATTATAACGTAAGAGCTAAAACATGTGGTTATTGCAATTAGGAGAAAAGAAATAAAGATCACCACTTTCATAGTACAAGTATACTTTACACTCGTTAATAGTGTAAGAATTGTGTCACAAATGACATTAAGATGTCCCTCTTGCACCTATATCAGTTATGTATGTGGGAAACTGATTAATATTTATGCTACACATTTGCATCTAAAATTTCAACTGGTTCTTCTATTTGTTTATTCAAATTTTTAGTCCATGGAAGCTACAAAGGCTTTGCTGCGTCACAGCTTAAGAAAAAAATTGGACGCGGCATTGGAATCGGAGACCTATTTGCTAATCCAGCACTGGTGTTCCACAGAATGTCAAACTGCCATAAAGGCTTACATGGATGGCAAAGTCCAGTGAACATTCAAATGGTAATCATACGTTTTCTCTGTACATTTGTCTTCAATTACTTGTACTTTACACATAAAAAATCGAAAAGTACTGAAAATAATAATAATAACATTAAGCGGGATAATTATTTTGATGGAGTATTACACATAGTGGTAAAAATTTTATAATGTGTATAGCAATATAGCAAAATGTAAATACATATTTGTCATTTGTTATATATAATTTGTATATGAAGTTGTACAATATATTATTTCTTACTGAAACAATTGTTTTGCAGTCGGTGTTTACATTAATAACGGCACAAGTTATGTTTTGTAATATCAAAAACATAAGATATAATATTGTTACAATACACTAAAGTAACAATTTAATGAAGTATATTCAGAAGTGATTATTAAAAGTTAGTTGTTACAAATTAAAAAGTTGCTTTAAAAAACCGTAATGACAATACAATTATATGCTACAGATACTCAACGATTTGAATGGAAGTACTAGCCACATATTTCGACACTACAACTAGTATTGTAAATTGGGCACGAAGAATAATAACAAGATAATTAATTTGGGAGACATTAAAGTGAGAAAAGGAGTCGTGACTCTGGTGCGTTATTTTGCATCAACGCACGATTATTTTTAAGATAAAACGTAAAGATATCGAAACATTCGATCAGATGGACTATTTTAATATTAGATCATTTAAGCAAATACATATATACTTTCCGCAGCATGTTATTATTGTTAAAATAAAATAAACGACCATCGTAAGCATTGGGGTTAATTTGTTCTTTGCATTGCATTATTAGCTAAATGTTGGATAGGATAGTGTTTAATCTTATAAATTACTTCAAAGTTACTGTATGATTCTTTCATATTCAATGTACTATCGTGCCTTGGTGAACATATGAAAATATGTAGACCATTAGATATAAAGAAAGATATTTGTAATTTACATTCTGAACAAGAAAACGTACAAACATATTTGATCAAACATTATGAATAGTTATAAATTTACCAAATTGTTTTCGGGTACTAATTGCGTGTTAATTGTGAATTATTATAATTTGATTAAAAAGAATAACATATCGATTATTTGTATTATACCGACTGTAGTTTACGAATACAAAATAATTAACTTATTTTACAATGTGAACATTGTATATCACTTCGATAACATATGAATTATAAATATGGAGAGAGTGCAAGTTAAAGTTATTTTAAAATAACACATGATACAACGGAAGTAAATAGTTTAAATAAAATTTGAGGGGTTTATAAAGGGTATGAAATAATACTCAAGGCAACATTGAGAAATTTCATTAAATACTGTTCAAAAACACAGAGTATGTTGTAAAGAATACAGTCGCTCTTGTACAAATGTTACACGTGTAAGAATAAGCCATTCTAAAACATATTGTATTATCAATGAATATAAAGCCCATACAAATATAAAGGAAATATTCACAAGCCAATTTTATGTTTAATACGTATTAAAAATATATAATTACCTATCTATATTAATTATTACATATATATATATATATATATATATATACATATATATATATATGTATGTATGTATGTATAATTATAGTATATATTATATTTGAGATAATAGTAAACATCTTCAATTGCATTATAATGTTAGTTCTTTTTCGACCGATAGGCAACTTTAGGCGTATTTTAAACGCAAATTTATGTGATTAGAAGTTAAAAAATTTTAATATTATAGACATCATAAAACAATTAACAAAAACTTTATTAAACGCTTTACAGGGGCAGCTATTATTTGTAGGATTGGCAGCAGGGGCGTTTCATCAGAAAAGCCCTATTTCTTTTTTAAGATTCACTTGTTTCCAGACTGGGAGTACTTGAAATTCTTCTTTACTCATTCCTAGTAGCTCCTATAAGAATAAACATATCGGGTACATGTATAATATGTAATTAGAATCAATATACTTAAATCTATACATTTGCAATTAATTTAACATGCAAAACTGACTTCAAAGTGATGTTGTGATAAATACAATTCCAAATGTGTAGGATCAACTCCTTCCGGTAGGGGTCGTTGTAGTAATTGACCCGGGGGATACGTGCTTTTCGTTAGTCGAGCTAACTCGTTTTCCACGGTCAACACTTCTCCAGGATTTCGACCGTCCTAATTACAAATCGTACGATTTTCAATCATAAAACATTCATAAATTCAATAATTATAAACCTACCTCAATGTTTAATTCTGCAATATCATCCTGATATGTCCACGTAGGGAATAAATTAATGAATTGCAATGGTTCCAAACCAGCCCAGACTAGATAAATTGGAAACTTTGTAGTGTCTGGATGCATATTTTGCCAATATTGCATAGCTGTTGTCATGGCTGCTCTTCTTTCAGCCTGCCATCTAACTGCTTTACTACCAGATTGATCCTCTGCTCCAGTATCAGGCCACCAGCCTTGCCATATCCATACTTCGAGTTTGTTGTCCAGCAAAAATAAAGCTGCAATAGTGACAATTAAACAATATTTGGAAAGACTAACAATCTGAAGGTATAAATTACCTGGTTGATTCACTTGATACAAGTCTTCCTGTAGAAAAGGAAACGGTGTTGCCAAAGAAGCACGATGAGGACACAGTACTTCCACGGGTTTAAATTCTTTAGAAATGCTTGATAAATGGAACAGTCTTGGAGTATGTTCCTGTAATTGGTCATTTTCCAACGATACGTATAATGATTTATTCTTTCCTCCTAATGCTAGAAACGAAACGTCTGATTAGATGTCCTAGTAGGGTATTACTTATACTTAGTCTTTGACTTACCATTGAAGAATTCTTCTGGTTCAATTCCTTCATTAACTTCTAAAATTTCTATATCACCTTTGGCCGACAAACCAGTTTCTTCAGGTCGATTTTCTTGTAATTTCTTTGCCACACTACTTGCATTCTAGAAAAATATGTTCATCAAATAAATAAAGTCAGTCATGTTTTTAATACTCTACGTGCTATGAAATAAATTTAGTACCCATATTTATTACAATCTAATTTTTGTTTTAAAACATAACCAGCACCACGATTAAAGCAAACAAGAAAAAAAAACACGAATCTTCTCAAAATCTCCGTGCCCAAATTGCTGTCGCTGATCAATTTATGAACGTCTTATTCGTTGTAATACAAAAGTTATGAAGAATACCTGTTTAATATGAAGTAACGCATTAGATCCATGCCATACATAAATTTTGTCGTTTTTAGTGTCTAGTAATATAAGAGAACCTCTGCTCCTTAACTGACGAGTACTGCAAGGAATCTCTATTAAAGACACCTCTGACTCTAAAGTACCTCGACATATGTACAATCGCCACCGTTGGTCCTGTTTTTTATCATTTTTCTTGCCACAGTGTACAATCATTCTTCCAGTAAATAAATTCAGAAACGCAGCTGGCTCGTGTCCTTGAACTACACGAAGCTGTAAGAAATGTACATGATATTTGGCACTATATATTCAATTCGTATTTTTCATTAAATTTAATCGATAATTACTTGAGGTGCTTGGTCGTTATCTAATTCGATAGTTAGTAACGCTGCTGCACCTTGCTCGTTCAAAGACGCACTTTGTCCTTGCCAAATGAAATAGACCGAACGATCACGACCCTTTGCGGAATGCTTTGAAGGCATACCGCTTAATTCACGACCTACAGAAAACAGAATATGGCGTATTTGAATACCGGCAGTACGAATACCGGCTGTATGTGTTTAATACTCACCAGTAATGGTAACTGAATACATCCAATATACAATATAACTATCCCCAGAATAAAACTGTCCAATAGATGAATCATCCAGAAGAGTATGAGAGAATTCATCGATGTGCCATACTTTCACGCTCGTTGTTGTAACGATGGTTTGCTTCATTAACTGCAAAGTAAATTATAATAAAATCATCTAAGGTCATATGTTTGTTCTTCGTTGTATATTAATTGAAATACTTGAACGCATATTTACCTCAGCATCGTACCAACCAGTACCTCTACCCAAATGGCTTCCTTCAAGAACTAAGTCCACAGGTGTGGTATTTTCTTCTAATAAATTATCAATGTTGCACGGTTCTATAGTTATAGTTCCATCGACTTGTTCTTTGTTGTTGTTTCCCCGAACTCGTATAATTCCAGAGACATTTGGCCAGTCGAGAAACTTTTCTCTGAATAGTATCGTTTCCACGTGTTGCGTCAACTTAGCAAGTAAGCACCATTTAGGTCTGACTTTAGCAGATTTACAATCTGTCTGCGATACGGAGCGTCTGCCAATCATGGATGCCGCACTAATTGGACACACAGCACATTCTGCGTAGTTGTATCCTTCGTTCCACATTTCTGTAGCGAGGTTCGTTGTAATTTTCTTCCTGTCAACGGAAGCACCCTTTCCACTCCATATGTACATTTCACTACCGAAGTCAAATACTAGCACCTTAAAAGGACACGTATCATTATCTACAATTAGTTGTAAGGGAATATATGTAATAATAAAACCTGGTTCTGTTATAAAAACGAACCTTATTTGGATCAAGCATTTCAATTTTTGGTATAGCACCCCAATATTTATCGAGGGGCACCAGTTCTTCATCCTTCATTTCATACATCATGTTCGTATGTATCATAGCTGTTTCATAAAGTTCGTCTTCATCAGGGTGGCCAGCATCAAATACTACGATTAATACAAAAGTAATTGATAATATATTTTTGTTGAATTTGTCTAGATTAAAAGGTATTATCTTACCGTCTACATTTTCAGTTTCAACGCCCAGGTAATTCCAGAATTTTTGCAATTGACTATTTGTACACGTTACTTTATCTTCATTAATAGTAATAACTTGAGTAGCTTGCGTACCAAGGTCTTTGTTCTGTTGAATTGTCATTGAAATTTTCGCACCACGAACCTTTTCAATAACGTTACAATATTTTCCAACGTAATTATATACCTGGATAGAAAAAAAGATATTGATAACAATATTGTTAACAAACAACAATGTATATCTGCATTTACCTCTGATTTTGTCACTAATACAAAATTGTCACCGCTATTAATGTTTTCTGCGATTGGTTCAATTAATTTCACTTGCACGTGACGTCTACCTTTAATTAAAATCAACATTAAATCTTTGTATGGTTGTAACTTATTTATTGAGGCATTCGATTCCGTTATATTCCTCAATGTTACATTACTGAAGTCTTCGGTCGAAGCTAGACCAGCTAGAGCTTCCATAGCCAAAGATGAATTTTTAGCGACTGTGACATAACATAATAAATAACCAATAGATTATTATAATATAATAATAATGTTTAATACTTCACTCTAAATACTTACGTTTTTCAACATTCAATTGTCTCATTACTTTTTCCGCAATACCAGTTCGTACTTCGGTGTACTCCGATCTTAAGTCAGTACGTGCCGCCAGCGTTTTTAGTGGATTTTTAGATACAACATGTCGCCTTTGTATCCGTATATTACGTTTCTGAACTAATCTATTGTAAAAATGTAAGCTTATGAAATTCACAATTTAACATATCGTTAATGATCTCTAAAACGAAAGAACAACATACAATTCTGACTGAGATGTAATTATATCAAAATCACTGGCATTTAAATCGACAGATTCAGCCTCACACTTCTCTAACGAGATTCCGGTGAAAAAAGAAGTAAATGTTTCATCATCTATCTTAGGTATTGACACAGTTGGAGATAAAGCTTTTCCTATTTTATTCTCTTCTCCTGTAAAATGTAACAAATTATAGGTATAGTACTGTCAAATAATTAATGTAGTAGTACTGTCAAAAGTCTCGACTAACCACTGTCATCACTTGCAGGTTCAGAAAAGCTCCCTCGCAGTTTACCGTATGAATCCTTGTTTGGACTAGTTGGCGTGGACAAAATTTCTTTTGTGCATCCTGAAAATACATTCTTTACTTTCAGTAGGTATCTTATCTGTATTTTATCCTACCGTATTCTTTCATCCACGAAAGGATTCAGAAATATACTAAATAATATTACCTCTTTTTGCTCTAAATCGTTCTGGACGGGGTGTCTTCTTTTTTTTATCTGTGATGTTTCCAGTAACATCGATAAGCGGTGAAGATGGACCTGTTTCCAATTTTTCCGGTAGTTCTACCTTCATTCTTCCAGCTACCGTGAACTTTGTAGCGTCCGACGCAGCTATTCTCTTCTTCCACCCTTCTGTGGCGGATTCTAACTTCCCAAGGCAATCGGCAAGTATTCCTTGCTTAATACTCAACTCTTCTTTAGTTGACAAATTAGTACATAATCCATCCTAATAAATAATTTTCATTAATGATAATTCGAGTTTCAAAAAAAAAGAAAAAAAGAAATCGTGTCAATCGACTGATATTTCTGTAAATAGAAATAGGTACTTACCGATGAATTAGACGATTCCGACACTATGCGTCGTTTCCAGTTCGTGTTACCGTTACGTTGAAGTGCCGCCAATCGATCTGCGATACTCATACTTGGACCATCATTGGTATCCAATGATGGTATTGCTTGCGTTGCGCTACGATATAATCCCGGAAGTTCTACACCATGCTGTTTCTGTGCTGTCACATTACACGATTCGCTTTCGTGTGTATTACTGCTAATCGCGTGGTGACTAGCGCTCTTCAACAGTGAAGCATACCTATAAGTATTTAATTACAATATACGTACACATCACCACTCACACTCCTTTACATAACACGTAATCTTATCAGTACTTATGGGAATGATTAAAAAATTTGACGTCATTTAAAATTCACATCTGATAACGTATTCCACAGGCAAAAAATACAGTAGCCTGTTCAGTATATTGATGAAAGTCATTCACCTGGTTTGCTTTGAGAAACGCGAACGACGAAGTAAGTCTTCATTTTTAATGGTGCACGATTCATGATTTCCTGACGGTTCACGGTCTGCTGTTCGACAGGTTTCTTCATCTTTTTTAGACGTGTTGATTTCAGTTCGAACACTGTTTACGGCATCTGATGCAGATTTTATTCTTATTCGACTTAGTTCATCCTGAGTATTATATATGTGAAAAGGAAGTACGTGTATTTGTTCAGTTTCAGACTGCCTACCTTCTGTACAGTTGTTCTTTTCCATGCCATAGGCGCTGTCCATATTGTACTGTGCGGTATAATTGCTTTCCGTTGCAGTTTCCTCCTAGGTACGGGATCTTTCGTCAATCTTAATGTTCTTATTGACATTACTTTTATAATTATTTTTTTAGGTTTACATACTGTGACTTACCTTCCTCTCTTCCACTTTAGATTTCAGTATAGATCGTCGTGAATCAGAATTTTCAAACATCTGTTGTTCCTGTTCTTCTAACTCTTTTTTAAGTACAGACTTTATTAACTTTAAACCTTCGAGTTCTGGACTCTTTGTTCTGGGCACAGTCTGTGTGTGCAATGTTGCTGGTTTTAAAATACTTTTTGGTAAATCAACTTGAGATAGATTCATTTGTCCACGAAGTTCTTGAGAAGCAACTATAAATATTGATAATTTATTATTGTCTTCCCTAGTTTAAAGTGTTGTAGTGGACGCTTAAGGTGTTGTACTCACTCTTGTCTAATGAACATTGGTGAACGACATTTAATGGAGATATTCGAGACGCTACTTCGACTTCTTCAGAGGTAACCGGTTGTGTTTTATAACGGGTAGCCGGCCGTCTTCTTAAATGCCTCTCCACTGGCGTGTTATTCGATACTGAACTCTTTTCAGTATCGATTTTTTGATTAAACAAGCGCACTCGTTCCGCAAAGCTTAATTTAGAAGGATTGTACTCGTCATCGGTTGCAGTTAAATTAGTTTCTGTTAAACTTGATTTTCTATTTGTGGTAGCGTTACGTTGATTCTGTAAAACGGCCTCTTGCACTTCTTGAAATGTCACTGGTTGGGTGTTAAACCTATCGTTTCCTTGAAGTTTTCGTTCTCTATAACGTTGTATCCCGCGCGAACTCTTGCTTGGTGTTCTGGGAGTCAAACTGTCCTTCTCTTTTGAATTTGCTTTCTCTTGTAAAGCTTTAAAATGCAATGCCAGTTTGGAAACACTATTACTGCGATGTACACCATTACTCTCATGAATGTCTGCGTCATCTTTCCTCTGCGAAGATAATACTTCGTCGTTTGTACATTCTTTGTCGTCAGTCATTTTGGCGGACAACGTAATATTTCTATCAACACTTTCATTTACAGGAAACTCATGTACTGTTACTTGATCCTTTGCTTCGACTCCAGATACTGTCCCAGTTTGTTTCTCCATCTCTACAGGTTTCTCTTTTGTTATGCTATAATTACATACAACATTAATTTGTTAAATATATATATAGATTTGAAAAGATATCACTATAACTAACATGATCTAGTCTAAAATGTAACAGCAATGTATTACCATTGTTATTTTCACAATGCAAAAACTTGTGACTCTTAATCTAAATGTATGCACACAAGAATATTTAACGAGCGCTAGTTTCAGGGACTTAAGCATTTTTTTACATCAGTAAAATAATAATGTTATAAATCTAGCTGCAGTTAACACGAAGTATATACATGTAACATCTAAATTTTTTTCAAACTGATTGTACATACATTGAGCGAAACGTGTAGAGAAAATAGGCGCATCTTTTGCTCAATAAAATATAGAACTGACTCTTTATAAATAAAAAATACAGAAGTACTACCTCGAGTCTGAATTAACTTTTAGACAGATGCACAGGTTGTGTGCATGATCCGATTCTCTGTTTTCTGGTAGCTTTCAGAATTGCTAGGTGGTCTATAATTAAACTTGGCACAGATTCAAAGTCTTACCAAACTTGTATATTACTATACCAAGTAAATGTATAAACAAATATCTATCGTAGAATGTTACAAATTGATAATACTGATGGATAATTGTAAATTAGTTAAATAAAAGCTACACACTTCGATATAAAAAAATATGTACACATAATAATAGTAATGACCATATATAGTTTGTACAATTCAGCATGTATCTATTCCTTGTTAAATATGAGGAAACAATATTTACCACATTGAAGAAAATAATGCAACTTGTAACAATAATAAGAGTTGGTAATTATTTAGAACATGGTTCTCAGCACCGATTTCAATGAACTTGAAATATGTTGTCAAGGCCATCATTCTTAACAACTTTTCCCTATACATATAATAGGCAGTCTCTTTTAGTTTCCGAGATATTTGCGAAAAACTGCTCCTACTAAACATTGAATTTCGTCTATACGTGCACGTTCATGGCAATGTGTGCGTCAGCATCGGGCGACCTCTTACCTCCTGTTCCTATAAATATAGCACAACAGCCGGCAAACAACGGATGAACTTAAAAATCATACTTAACCGATTTCAGTGACTTTGAATACTGAAATCAGTATAATGCGTTGAACAGTATATATTTTTTGTTCTTTAACTAGCTTTAACCTACTCAAATCAGTATAATACATATTTTGAACAGTATTTTCAGCTTTTCGCGAATATCACCTGTAAATACAATGCAGTATTACTGATTCAAGTAGGTCAGAGCTAGTTAAAAACAAAACAAAAATACTGTTCAAAGCATTATACTGATACACTTAAAGTATGTAGTAGTTAAATGTATAGATTTACCAAGTAGTAGACAAGAATAAATCGACTCACCCGTTCTATCTGTTGCTTTCTCAGCCACTGCGACGTATTTATGAAAAAAAAATACTAGCGGCAGTCGCTGCTGACAAATAGGCTGTCACGGACGTATACGTATAGACAAAATTCAATGTAGTAGTAGCAGCAGTTTTTCGCGAATATCTCGGAAACTAAAAGAGACCGCCTATTATATGTACAGGAAAAAGTTGTTCAGAATGATGGTCTTGACGATATATTTCAGCGTCACTGAAATCGGTGCTGAGGACCATGTTCTAAATAATTACCGAGATCTATTCTGAATTGTTTTCTAACAATATACATTTATAAAATTTGCATTACATACCTGTTTAATGTGTCATAAAAAATAGGAGACACATTGGCACTCTCACCACCCAGGGAAAGGTCTGTCTTTAAATAGTTACTGTTGGTCGTTAATCTCGTCTGTAACTTATCTTGTAACACATCACTCATAGATGTTAATTCAAGAGATCTTCGTTTATTAAGTACTCCAGTGAATTCATTAGGAATATTGGAAGGCTGCACATGGCCCACAGATTGTGCCCGTTTCCGTAAAAATAAATCTGCTGGTTCAGTACACACTTCGTTAGTAACTACTGTCTCATCGTGTAAGTTCAAACGGACTCGTGATTCATTGTCTCTACTACCCGGTTGCTTCAATATAGGTCGTACAAGATCATTTTCTATTACTCCAGACGTTCTACCTTGTAAGGAACGATTTCTGAACATAGATAGTTTCTTCGGCGATGTTAATTCTATTTCGTAATTGCATTCATCCTGTGAATTCTTTCGTGTACATTTCAATATAGTCTTTTTTGGTTTGTCATCGTGCTCGTCCGACTCTGTACTCGACTTCTTCTTCAATATTGGTCGTGGCTCTAAAGACGGTGGATCGCTACCAAACGATTCCTCTCTACTGTGCTTTTTCTTCAGTATCGGCCTTACCTCAGAGCTATCAAGTATTTCAGGACCGATCACACTTGTTGCATCCATTGTAATGGTCACGTGATGATTAACATTACTTGTCCGTAGGCTATTTGTAGATTTTCTCTTCAGTATACCCTGTGGTTCCAAAGAACCAGCCTGGCGATCCTCTCTGTCATCTTCTCTAGACGATTTTCTCTTCAATATAGAAGTAGGCTGAGGATCCGGACTTTGATCTCTTTTAATAATTTCGTCCAAAGACGATCGCCTTTGATTCTTTAATATTGGCCTGAATTCAGAATACGTATTATCGGCGAAGGAGATATCTGGTGAACAACTGCGGCGTCGAAGAATTTCACTTTCGTCTAAACTACTGCGTTTCTTTAAAATGCCATGTCTTTTATGCGTAGGTTCGACCACAGACGGTGAAAACGTTACTGGCAAAACGGTATGAGTAATATTAGACACATTCTGACCCCCTTCGCTATCAGACATCTTGTGTTTCAGAATTGAAACTGGTGTATGCGAGTGACTTAAAAATCCATCCTGAGAATGTTCTTCATTCGATTTCTTTAATATTGAACATTTTCTTGGCGACGATTGCAAAACGTGTACATTATTCGTATTACTTTCTATATTACTAATGGCATTGCCTTGAGACGATGTACTAGACGAATGATTTTCCGATTGTGGTCCATAATTTGAAGACAAATTTGCTTGTGACGTGAGTCGTTCCACGCGTTCAATCGCAGACTTCGTTAACGCTGTTAACGCATCAACTCTTCTTGAAACTTCAGAATCACTGTGGCCGCCACTACTGTAAAATTCAGTTTAACATCAATTTTATATTTTCATAATAAAAGAATAGAAGAATATAGAAAATAATAGGATAACAGAAACAATACACAGGACATAAATCACAAGTATATACGAATAAACGTTCTCCAATGGTGAACAAATAAAATTACCTAGTTCGTTGTATATTTGAATATTTAGTGCTTGCAAGAGGATTAACAGAAGGCGATGTAGAGGTTTTTGGATGATTTGTAACATATTGAGTACTAACTTTCGGATAAGCCGTTTTCGATTCAATCGGCTTTTTACTTAAATTAGTTGTTAGCTGACGCTGATTACTAGAATTCGACGTAGATATTGTATCAGATATGTAACTTTGCTTAGCTGATTGTCTTCTGGTTCTTCTGTCATTACATTCGGCTAAAAGATGTACATACTGATTATTTGACGAATATTAGTAACAACTTAACAATTATCTTGATAGATTACTTACACTGATTCAAACGATCTCCTGTTGTTTTTTCCATGTTGAGTGACTGATTTAAATACGATTTTCGTTTATAACTTTTATCCCTTTCTCTTACAGGATTTATAGCAGTACTGTTACTTGATACTGAATTTTCCTGTATACATTATTAGATATTAGTTGGTTACTTACATTAATAACGTATTATACAATCACACATTAAAAAGAACTATTTACATCCTTAACTGATGAACTAGTCCTAGGTTGGAGATTTGATGGAGTAGAAGTTTCTGACATACCAAATCTCCTGGAGACTAATGTGCCACCTATATGAACAAAGCAAATATTATGATGCGTAAAGTATTGAGCATTGAACTTCTAGCTCCTCTTCAACTACAGCTACAAAATATAAGTTACCATTAGGTGATATAATTGATGCAGCCCTTAATCTGGAAGCTTTAGTTTCACGAATTGGAGTTGTCTTATGTGACAAAAGATTCTTACCACTCTCTTTAGTTTCTGATCTTGGAATTAAACGACTGTTTTTTTCCAACATGGAGGTACGAGTCTTATTCTCTGTTGTGAAGACAATGAAAAACATTTATATCAAATTGAAGTAGGCTGCATACATTCTACAAATCTATGTATCGTTTAGCAATTGTTCTGTTCAAATGAATTATAAGCATATGAACATATTTTTGCAAATATGGAAATTAATGGTTCTCTTGAAAAAAAAAAACTTACTGTTCATAGCACAAGCTGTTATATTCTTTTTAGCAGGGCAGTCTCTACTTTGTTGGCTGTTTTGTGTTGCATTATGGGTACAAACATTTCGATTCTCATATTGTGTGAAATTATTTTCTGTTCCATTTGAAGAACTTTCTTCACTGGCTGCCATTAAAACTGTGGCTCCAGCAGCTACCATTCCTACAAGTAAATAGACACATATCATAGCTAACACTTTTAAACACATTCTTCCATTGTCATCTAATTACATATATATATATATTTAATTTCTCCAAGCCCAAAAAGTAAAGGACATATAGGAGTATAGTGTAAAAAATAAAATAAAAAATTTTAACGGTTTCTATCGACAATTGAAATTTAATATGATTATCCAATAAATAAACAATTACGATAAACGTTAGGGAAAGTAATTCATTTATTACTCAAGAATTCAGAACATATGCGTGCACGGTACAGAATCTAAAAATAATCTTAACAAAAGTTTTCATCTATTTCGAAAACGAAATTCAACCGTACATATTGTTACAAAAACATCATAACATCTTACACGTACGACAAATAAGTATTAACTGTCGTTCTAACCATTTCTTAATAATAATGCCTGGATGTTTACAGTGTTTCAGTAGTTTACAATATAGATTATGACAAAGGCACTCCTCGCACTTACTGATCTAATAAAACTTTCGTTTCATTGCAGCCGATCACGATTCAAAACAAATCTACAAATAATCGAGAACGCAGCTAGTGACGCAGATGACTTGTGTCGTTATCACAGCTATTCAATAAGTACTACATACAAAATACATATAAAAAGCACCCGAATAAGTCGGGTGGACGTATAAAATTGTGTACAGTCTAAGTTTTGTCACGAGCAAAAAATTTACAACGGAAAGATAGATCCTCCTCCGGAATAGATTGCACAGGTATTAGTCAGTATCAGTATTAGTCATTGCAATTTTTCTCATAACCATGGACCTAAAGGACAGTGCACAAAGTAGACTTATGGACGCGGGGAGTGATGCTCTGAGGGGAGGGTACGGTACCACCATCTGAAATCATGAAAATTGTACTAATGGGCTAGTAGTTTGAACCTTTTTATCATAGATGGGACTATTGGTCAGTTATACTTTATATGATGTATATACATATGTAAGATATGTACATTTGTGATTTCATACTATATATTTACTTGTGCAGTAACGCCATCTAGCTGTAAGAAGCATGTTCCAATCGACTATCGGATCCTATATCACAGTAATGGGCAACGCCGTGAGGTGAGACCGTGGGGTCATAGAACCCCCTGCGGTGGCGCCAGGGACACCGCGGGGCGAGATCGTGGGGTCACAGAGCCCCGGAAACATGGGTCAAGTCACTGGGCCACGTCAAGCACTCCTTGTTTACTTCATATTTAGACAGGTCTCACGACGTTATATGGACAGCATTTGTTTTGACCAAGCACACGACTTGTAGCTGAAAGAATGTAGATTAATCTGCAGTCAGTGGCAATAACAATAAACGACCACAACACTGTTAAAAGCGCAATTTATTTACAACGGTTGACACTGTATCTCGTCATGCGTACCCCGGTTAATTCACTTTGGACAGCTCGTACACCATTATACGGATAGCTTTCGTTTAACTGAAGTACTCAATTTGTAGCTGAAAGTACGTAGATTAATCGACTCTTATTGATAATAACAATAAACGACCAGAACACTGTTAAAATCGCATTTAATCGCGGAGTACCAGTATTTTTTTGACCGGTGGCGCCACCCGTGGCGAATCGCTGAAACTGCTAGTCAATTATATGGCTAGCAGTTTCAGAGATTCGCCACGG